AAATTCTAACCTCCAGGACCTGTGGATGTGACTTTATTTAGGAATAGGGTCTTTGCAAATACCTAAATATTTCTTGTGGCTCTGCTTTGTCATTGTAACTATGCACAGATCTACAGAAGATTTTGCTTTTTGTTATTTTAAGGTTAAAATACCCTCTTTTTCTTTTTTCTACTTAAAAAACAATACGTACACATGGAGGATGAGCAAAATAGTACAGAAAATCTCAAAGAGGAAAGTCAAATTCAGTGAAAATTCAGCTAAAAAACTATAGATATTTTGGTGAGCATAGAATATCTATGTATGTTAATAATACTTAAATAAAATTTTATGTACACTACTTTCTAAATTGTTTTTGTTTTAATTTTTTGCCTTTTTTTTGTTTTGTTTTTTGAGAGGGTCTTGCTCTGTTGCCCAAGCTAGAGTGTAAGGGCACACTCCTGGCTCACTGTAGCCTGGAGTCAAGTGATCCTGGGATCAAGTGATACTCCCATCTCACCCTCCCTAGTAGCTGGGATTACAGCCATTTATCACCATGTCCAGCTAATTAAAAAAGATTCTTTTTAGAGGCAGGGTTTCACCTTGTTGCCCAGGCTGGCCTCAAACTCCTCGGGTCAAGTGATCCACCAACCTTGGTCTCCCAAAGTGCTTATATTACAGGCATGAGCCACCATGCCTGGCCTCTAAATTGTTTGCTTACTGAAGCAATTACGATATTTTTGTGCCAATAACCTTGACCTACATCCTTCAAAAGAAAAAATAAATGAAGTTTTGCAGATATAAAGTTAAGGATCTCAATATGATATCATCCTGGATTAAAGGTGGGCCTTAAATAACTGGTGTCTTTACAAGAGAAGGGAGATAAGGCTATGACAGAGACATGGGGAAGAAGGTCACATGAAGATGGAGGCAGTGGTTGACATTATGTTGCCCCTAGCCGAGAAATGCCAATAGCCACCAAAAGTTGAAAGGAGTTTTTCCTAAAGCCTTTGCAGACAGCCCTATTGACACCTTGATTTTGGACTTTTTACCTCCAGAACTGTGCAAGAATAAATTTCTGTCATTTTAAGCATCACTTTTTTAGTAATTTGTTGTGGTAGCCTTAACAAATTCTAATAGGTAGAAAATGCTAACATCACAGTTTAAATTCTCTGATAGTCTTTTAAGATAAGAATTACATGAGATAATTTTTCTCAAAATACAGATTCCTGGGTTCCATCCAAGACCTACTGAATGAAAATCTTTGAGGGAGGCGGGTAGAAGCCTGGAAATCTTTATTAGCAACAAGCACTGCAAGTGACTCATATCCTCAAGCAAGTAATTGGGGAAATGCTGAATTAGAACAAGAAACTAAAAGCCATTTTTAATCATTTCTGCCTACTGCTTTGAAAATATCCCTCCAGGGTTTGCTTAACCTCCCACTTTTCTGCACACTGGGCTTTATTAGTCAGGTATTTACAAAACAGGGAACTGTAACCAAAGAAAGATGCAAAATAATGCCACATGTGTGTAAGAATAACCAGAAGACAGCTTAGTGGAAACTCACATACCACTTCTAAATTAAAAATAAAGCATGCTAAAATATAAACATATGAAATAAGGAAATAGACAGAACCATTTTTAATTTAGAAGTAAGATACAAAGAATAAGTCTACCGGACATAGGCAAAAAAAAAAAAAAAGAGCTTCTCAGTTTCCTCAGCATCCTTCTTTTAAATAAAAATAATTATTGTTGAACTAGAAAGTAGATAGCAAGTAGGTTTGGGAGAAAATTCAAACTCCAAGCCAGAGAATAGAGAAAAATAGAGCACCTAATTGCTAAAAGATGAGTTTATCTTTCTATGGAGACAAATTATCAAACAACTAATAAAACATCAAGTATCTTTGATGTTCTCAGAGAATTGACAGTAATTTTGGAATTAATGGGAGATAGGAAACATGAAGAAAAATGGGAAAAAAGGTAACATTGAACCAACTCCAAAACTGAAAGAAAACTTAAAAATTACAAAGATTATGTAAGTTTCTGACAATAATTCTAAGATCAGCTTGCTAAAACAATCATTTGTCAGTATTTATAATGACAATATTTGATCATGACCCTAAAACTGAGAGAAAATTTAGAAACTATAGACAGGTGAAGATTATGTAAGTCTTTGACAGTAATTATAAGATAAACTTGTTAAAACAATAGTTTGTCACTATTTATAATGATACCATTTCCATTTGCTCATGAATGAAATAAAAGTATATTCTGCCAGAATAAACTTTTTGCTGATGCAGTTTTTTGATGAGCATTTATATACTTATATATATAATACATATATGTAAATACATATAATATATAATATTGATATATATAACATATATATTTAGGGCATTTTCATTATATATAATCCATATAATATGTGTTACATGTATAATATATATAATTTATATATATCACAATTATGCATATTATATATTACTAAATGTAGTGCTCCTAAATTTTTAACATCTTTGAGAAATTCTTTCACAATAAATGAAAATACCATACATACAATATAATGGCAAATTTAGATAGATGAGTAGTTGATTCATAACTGTATCTACAAAATTCTAATTATTAGATCAGTTTTTCCCAGAAGAATGTTTTTAATTGCTCTCCAAAAAGCTCATGCCTTTGTCACTATAATTTGGCTAAAGCCTTACAAGTAATGCTTACACAATTTTTGAATTATACCAAACTAGAAGACATCATTATCATGATGGATGATGAATTCAAAACTGCAAAACTGCAGAAAAGTTAAGAACTGTAGAAGGATGACGGGGCATAAAGGACCTCACCAATGTACATATTTTGAAAAGTGTGGATAAGGGGGAATCTGAAGACTATCAAAATAAAACTTAAGGGAACTTTTGAAATGTAAACATTGGAAATATTCCTAAAAGGCAAACTGGTTTATAAGAAAAGCTTAGGCATGTTAATTGACTGAGAACTCATTATGTCAGTTACATGATAAGGCTGTCATCCAAGATTAAAAGAAACCGAGAAGCTAAATAACTAAAGGTAAACACTCCACTATGATCTGTTTTAAAAATACCAAATTTCTACAACGTGAACATTTCACATTTTAAAAATCGTGGTAAAAATATGTAACACAAAATTTATCATCTTAACCATTTTAAGTATATAGTTCAGTAACATTAACTATATTCACATACTTCTGCAGCAGATCTCCAGAAATTTTTCATCTTGCATATCTGAAATTCTATACACATTGAATATCAGTCTCTCATTTTAGGCCATTGATTTTAATAAGATTATTAAAATTCAAGTGAATGAATAGCAAGGCAATTGCCAAGAAAAGCCCCTATAAACATGCTCATGTAAGAAAATGTTGAAGGAAGTGATATGTTTAACCTATAAAAGAGAAGAGTTGGTTGGACATGATGGTGTCATTAGTTATCTTAAGAGCCAGACTGTGAACAAAGTTATTGATTCTATGTAGCTTCAGACGACAGAACAAGTATCAAAGGGTATAATCTTCAAGAAGGCGGACCTTAGCTCCATGAAGAAATAACACAATTGAATACTGCCCAACAGTAGAATTAATTACCCCCTGAAATGTTGAGTTCTTTGTTTCTGAAAATAATTTAAACAATGACTAGGGAAGTACTCCTGGGACCAGTTTTAGAAGAATTACTGTATTGGATAAGAGATTAAGTTACAAGGCATTTTAATCAACTACAAAAGTCTCTAATTCTGTGAGAATGGACAACTAGGAGTGAATGTAACTGACATCCAACTGAAATCTACTAACACATTCTGCAACTTTGCACACACAGTTTTCAGTGCTTCGGTCGCCTTACTTATAATGTGAGAACTAAAATAACTTACCTTATTCTTTCTAAATGTCCATGTATTGAATACATGTGTATATGTTTATACTCATAGGTGTGTACAAACCTGCTTTAACGGGAGATTAGAAGGGAGAAAGGAAGAAGGAAAAGAAGAGGGACAGAGAAAAAAAATGAGTGAGTTAAAAACAAAACCATGTAATAGTGAAATTCTTTCTTTCACCTTGGCCCTGGCTCACTTAGATCCAATACTAAGGACAAGGAGACACCAAGTATCCCCACATTTTGCAGAGAGAAACCAATATTTGGAACAATTTCGTATAATAGGAAAGTACTGTACAAGTCAACCTTCTGGAGAGACCAGTGGACCAGCCTATGGAGAGATCCACGAATGCAAGAGGAGAGACTCCACGAGAATCATTCATGAAATTGTGTGGGTACCTAAGAAGGCAGAATTGATGAGATGTTTTTCTGCGAGTGATCTGGCCCTTTTACCTGTATCTAGAGAACAAAGAACTGGAGAGTGATTGTAGGCCCAAGAGATGGGTCATTAGGAGAGCAGCCTGCTCACAATACCTGGGAAAGAAAATAAAATAGACCTAGCAAAAGATGATAAACCTTTCCTTGTCACATCAGTAACGCAACTAAAGCAAGGGAATTCCAGCAACTTAAGGCTTTGAGATGTACCTCCTGTGGTGGGAATGAGGAGGTCTGGGGAATAAAAGAGACATAAATCTAGATGTGCATGGAACTCTGAAGAAAGGAGAAGAGAGAAGAAATGAGAAAGGAAGTTCAGGGAATTCTAAAGAGGTATAAGACTCAAACCTCTCTGAGGAGCTCACACAGATGCCTCTCAAGAGAGTTGAATTTCTCATGTGTCCGAGGATTGTAAAATTTAGAGTAGTAGAAAGGTTTCCTCAATATCTGCTTGAAAAGATGTTACTCATTTCCTCCATGTCTCCTCTTTGCCTGAAGAGCTAAAGCAAGATGAAAGGCAAGTAGCAAGTAACAAAGCAAGACAAGAACCCCATTCCTCCCCATTCCTAGAACCTCAAGTCTTTTACCTGTATTTATAAAGAAATAGCCTTTTAAAGGGGGGTAAACTGATAGGATATTCTACGTGACACAATCTCTACTAACAAACAGTATGTTTCACTCACAACTTACCACAGGATGCCATTTCATCTGTCTGGTCACCACAGTCGTCTTCCCTGTCACATAGCCACGCTCTGGGAATGCAACGCCCATTTCCACAAGAAAACTGGTCTACCTGGCATGTTCTGTCTATGATGATCAATTAATATACAAAAAATAAATAAATACATTTAGAGGCCTTTTGAACATTAAGGATATAATAAAGCATGCAATATATCTTTTAGACATAATATAGTGTATTTCTCTATTAAAATAAAATATTTTAAAAGAACATTTTTATTTAAGGCTTCTGAATACCAGCTTGCTTATCTTCTCTAAAGTTCACATGCTTTGCCCTTCAATTAATAAAGACTGCTAAATGACAAGATAGTCAGTAATCCTCACACAATTCCATAAATGCAGCTATGAATTCATTATTTAAAAATTTTGCCGAGCACATGCTTATAAATATATGACTGAATTAAGTTTCATCCAACTCTTAATTAACAAAAAAAAAATTTGGATACCATTTGCCAATAAACAGAAAGTACTTTTTTGCAGTAATACAGAAGATATTGTTTGGAGATTATCTCAGGGTATCTAGTTTCTAATCATGGGTCAGAATTGTCCTTTCCCTCTAACATATTTAATGCAATTATTTCTTGATCTCTAAATGATCTACTGTATGAAGTGAGAGTGCAGAAAGCATTTTCTAAAACCTATATTTGGCCTTAAGATGGTTTTTTTAAACTCACTTTTTAGCACAATTATTTTTTAAAGTATGCCCTTTTAATCAAATACATTAATCAAATTTGCTTTGGGCTCTCTTAAGGGTTTCAATGAACACAAACATGGAATCTTGCTTTCTATGTTAGCCAGAGGCAGTGGTTTAAAGTTATTCAGAAAAGGGGTTACATTTAACAGGTAATTTGATAATCATTTTCTAATATAATCAGGGCAAATTTTAAAAGGCTGAAAGCCTGAATAGCTTCCCTGCCTTTTCCCTCAGGCCTTTGGTAGTTGCATGCTTAGTTGTTTTTTGATTTTTATTTCTTTTGTCCCTCTGAACTACAAATATGTCTTTATGAGCCTCAGTATCCCATCTACCCTGTCCTTTCATTGGACTAGGGAAAAAAATGAGATAAATTGAGAAAGAAATACTTAGTTCTATGAAAATTTTGGAGGGGTGAGGTTGAACAGATAATGAATAATTGAGGTCTCACTGTCAGTGGCTACAATAAGAGAATCTTGCATAGTTTATAGATTTCCTGTTTCCTAGGTTTGAGAATCATTGTTTGTTTCATCAAAACACCTTGTGAACGTGGGTGCTAATGGTTGACATAACAGAGAGTTGTGCAAAGCCAACTCAGTCGAACACACTAAAATGGGTTCCATGAATAAGTGCTTCAGAAATCACTGAAAATAATTTCTTATAAGATATATACGTTTTCTTTCCTTTTGGGAAAAGTGCACTTGCAGTGTTAAGATGTATATCCATTATTAGTGAATACTGTAAAGTTTATCCAAGAAAAACCAATGAAAAATTTACTGGGTTGATTTGATCCATTAGACTGTTTCTAGCCTTAGTGTCTGAAATTAGAAATATCAGGAAAAGTATTATGGTATGCATTTTGCTTTGCTTGTGTGATAAGGTTCCTAAATCTAAAATATTTTATGCACTATCCAAGTATTTCCATTTTACAAATTCATCATTTATTTTAAATTATCAGATTTTAAATATTCCAGCAAACAAGTATGCTTCTGAAGTTTTTAATGTTAAAATTACAAGTAGAATTAAATAATTCTATATTGTCTTATATAATTCCACAGATTTTCTGATAAATTAATCTGTCATGTATACTAAAATGAATAAAGTTCTTAGGTAATTGTTATAAAATTATGTCTACTGAGAAAAAAGCTGTACATGTATTTGTGTTACCCTAGAGAAGGACGTAGAAATATATACACAAAATTTAATGTCATTAGTTTACTTGATGGGAAGGCGCAAAAATAGAAGTGTGAGAGACACTAATATTTTTTCTCTTACATATCTGTGTCACTGGTTACAATAAAAACATTTTTCTTTATCTTTTGAGTTTTAAGAGAAATTTAATAAGAGGATATTTAAAAAATTTTTGGTACTTCCTTCCTCCCTAACTTGCCTTCTTCCTTCTTTTCTTTTCCCTTCTTTTTTTAAACTTTTCTTTTTCTTTTCTATAGCTCTTTCTTTCTCTTTCATTCTTTAACTATTTCATTCCTTCAGTCTTTTCTATTTTCTTGCTTTACATAGATAGACATTATCACATATTTCTATCCCAAATTCTAATTGGCCCATAATAAGAATATATTAAATTTATCAAAATCAATGTTCTTTTATTTGACACTCTTATGTCACTGTATTCTCTCCTAATAATTCGGGTTTAATTCTAGCAAAGTTTTATCAGATTGTTTTCTTTCATTAGGATAGCTATGGTGATTAGAGAGGAAAATGAGAAAGAACTTCTATGAACCTGTCTCATATTGTGTATGACCTATCTCACATTGTGATGGTGTGGGAATTTGTGTTACCTCATTAACTCTGAAGCTGGAGGAACTGTTATGACCTATTATTCCAAAGAGTATTCACTGGATTATTATTGAGGTAAAGTATGCCCTGAAGATATATGAATTTATTGTCTGTTCTAATCATGGAGAAAATTATTCACTTAGTCTACCAGGCAATTTTAACTGATTTCAGATGAGAAAGATGCTTGATTCCACAAATCTCCATGTTTATCTGCATGATATAATCAAGTGGACTAAATTATCACTTTCTAATCAATAAACTTTTCTGAAAACAAACCCACAACATTTACTTTTTCATTTCTTGTCTCCATCAGATCTAAGTCAGTTTGGAGGCAAGATTAGCAGAGCAGCCCCATAGGACTCTAATTTTGCAGCAAATGCTGTTCTAAGGATAAGACATTTATACCTCCTCCAAGGGAATTGTTTGTCTAGCTGCTGAATCAGAAATTCACTGTAATCATGCTTCTCCTGCAGCCACGTAACAGTGAGAACTCTCACAATGCACACGAACTATACGGCCAAGAGAAAACTTGAGCATAGCACTATTCTTAAACTTCCATTTTGCTGTATTTTAATCAAAGCATTCTACTTAATTTTATTTATTGTCATATGATGTCAAATCAAAACATACTCATTATTTTGTAAAGAAAAGTCTAATTTTTAAATACATTAGGGTTTTTTTAAAAAGCAATTGTATTTATCTAGTATGCATTTAGTTAAAATTGGTAGAGGATGTGAGAAGAGCAAATATTATGTGATCTAACCAGAGCACTATGGTGGGGGGAAATGCTGATATGAAATTGTCTAGGCTTGAATATAAGGAATGATCATGGTTACTCTGAGGAAAAATTATTTCAAATCTAACTACTTTTCATCTTTGGCCTCTGGGTCTCCCTCATAAGTAGACAACACTATTCTGGATGTTGAGGGAGAACGGCTGCCCAGACCCTGACTGTGCCCACATGCTGCAGCCCCCTGTGTATGTGCTGTTTCCTTTTCTGGGCAAATTCTCCAACCTTTTCTCTTATTATTCATTTCACCCCACTCTGGGAAATTTATTCTGGTCAGTTGTTTTTTTTTTTTTCAGTGAAGTATTTCTACCACCTAGAAAGGTATAGGAAATAATATCATTAACATCTGTTTACTGTTATACAACAATATGAAATCCTATTTTTTCTATATTTGCTACAGATTTTTATTTTATCTAAGAAAAAAATATATGTAGTTAAATTTGAAATTTGCTATGTAATCTTTCCTAATCACATTTCTCTCCCTCTCTTTCCAGAGGTACTCTTCTTTTTATTTATTTATTTCTGGACATATTGTAATACTATTCCTATTTATGAATTCATAAACACTATATAAAATTATTTTATATCTTATACTTCATATAAATGGTATTGTTTATGTTCTTCAACTTAGTGTTTTGTTTTCTTTTTTCCCTTGGATGAAGGTATCTCATTTAATTTAACTTTATTTTTAAATTTATTTTTATTGATATTTGAGTTCTTGTTCAGTTATTTTAACTATCAATAGCATTCTGTGAATAGAACACAATATATTTATCCATTATTCTGTTAATGAAAATTTTAGTTATTTCCATTTTTTTTTTTTTTTAGTACAGCTCAAGCCAATGGAAATTTTTGTCTCTTTCTTCATGCACAGGTATGAGAGTATAAACATAGAAGTAGAATTACAAAGTCGAAGGTATGCCTATCTTCATATTTACTGAATTTGGCCAATTGCTTTTCAAGATATCATTCACATCCTCACCAAGAGTGTGTGACAATTCCTTTTTTCCACAATTTTGCCAGTGCTGGGTTTTACCAGATTAATATATTTTTCCTAATCAAATGGCTGGAATTGTCACTTCAGAATTTTTCTTAAGCTTTTTATAAGGCTTAGCTTAGACAATGCTTCCTTTAAGAAGTTCTCCCAAATAGCTAAAAACTAAATTCCTTACTCTTCCTAGGTGGATCAATTTAGCCCTTTTCTAGTGCAATAATCAATAATCAATTATTGCACTAGAACGGCCTGTTTACACTTCTTTCTCTCAGTCTTCACTCTTAGCTTCTTGAGGAAAGACACTGTGTATTTTCTTTCATTCTATCGCCAATGCCTTGGTAGATACTTAATGAAGTTAAGAAATTCATGAAGTAGAAATTAAAAAAATAGGAAATTGGTTTATTGTGGACAATGGGTTTCTTTTGATATAAAATAATCACAATGCAAAGAGCTACAGGATGGTGGATTCGATAAGAAAGTAATTCCCCATTGGCAAGTCTTTTTATCCAGCATATGCATCCATGTATTCACCTATATCTAGCAATGGATAGAAATCCAGAAAGAAAACTGGTCTATATAAATGTGGCATTTTTTTTCCATATGGGAAGCTATGGAACCTATTTATATAATTTGATAAAGTGAAATGGAAGTACATTGCAACAGGACTATGTACTTCATTGCTTGCAAAGCAAAAGATATATTTATTTTTATCTTTGTTCTTTTTATTCAAGTTCTTAAGGTGTCCAGTGACTGTAATAGCTGTCATATATATACTGACAGGAAGATCTAGTAGTGAGTAGCAGACTTCAGCTGGCAGCACTTAAAGTGGGATTTAAGCAAGTTACATTCTATTTCCTTGTAGACCATAGGACGAGTATTTTAGAAATCTTATTAGTTTGGTGCTAAAGTAATTGTAGTTTTGCTACTGAAAATAATGGCTAAAGCCGCAATTACTTTTGTACCAGCCTAATAACTAAAATTGTTTTGTTTGATCTTGTACATAAACATTTTTACTTTTACTACTGTAAATAGCTAGCCAATCATAAATGCTTCTTTAAAAACCGTGTAGAAACAAGTAGATTTTAAAAATCTAATAGAAATGAAGAAAACATGGTATCATAAATTGAACCAGCAATACCTTTTATTTTAAGGTGAAAGCAGATCTGTTTAAGATGATATAAAGCATAATCTCTGAATTGAATCTTAACCTCAAAAGAATAATAATTGAGCCAGACATGGTGGGTCACACCTGTAATCCTAGCACTTTGAGAGGCCTAAGTGGGAGGATCACTTGCAGCCAGGAGTTTGAGACCAGCCTGGCCAACATGATAAAATCCTGTTCTCTTCTAAAAATACAAAAATTCTGGTGTGTGTCGTGTGTCTGTAGTCCCAGCTAGAGAATCGCTTGAACCTGAGAGGTGGATGTTGCAGTGAGCTGAGATCGTGCCACTGTACTCTAGCTTTGGTGACAGAGCAAGACTGTCTGAAAGCAAAACAAAACAGAACCAAAAAGAAGAATTACACTTGTTTAGAAAGATGTCTCATTGTAAATTATAGTCATATGGCAAGAGCAACTTGAGGAAGTTAAACTGATCATACCTAAAATTCTAACCATTATGCGGATATATCATTTGGGATAAAGAGAAATGGCTTTGGAGACAAAACTCTCGGATGGAATTTCCCTGTGTCTTTTATCAATAATGTAAGTTTAGGCAAGTTCCCTTTCCCCATGTATAAGATGGATATAGCCTGGAGGGTAGGGACCTAGGACTAGATGTTCTCTAGAGGTCCTTTTTCTCTTAGAAACTCATTTGAAAAGCAAAAGATATGTTATGAGACAAATAAAAATATCTTTCAAAAAATTTGTTTACTCTAAAATGTCAGATGAATTTTTTAATCAGGGAACAACAGAATACCTGGCCCATGGATCCTCAGCAAATATGTCATTATGGAAAAAGCTGAATAGAAGACATGGACTAGGATTATGGAATGGTGACTGTTTTGCTCTTGCCAGTGTTGTTTTGTACATAGGGAAAGTCTCTCTGGAAACAATTTTTAGTTAATTCATACTCTTACTGTGCTGGAAAAAAATGTGCAGGAAATCAAAAGTGCAGAGAGGTATGTCTTTCCAAGAGAAAATACTGGTGGTGACCAAGAGTGGAAACCAGTCTTCTCAACCCCTGGGTCTTTTCTCTACAGGTTGCTCTGTATTTTTCACTAGTAATTTATAATACTTCTTATTGAGTAAGGCTTACTCTGGCAAAGACAGAAAGAGTTGATGGGGTAGTTGATCTGTTTTGATGTTGCTATATGTAATGGTTTAAAAAATTCAGTTTTTATGAATCGTATCAAAATGAGTCATCAAATACACTATTTTTTTCTTTGTCATTTAAAAAGAGGCACTAGGCTGCTGCTAGTCAGTATCATTTTTTAACATTTACCTGATTAATAATGACCTTTCTGGCACTCTGTTGTAAACTATACCACAAGCTGTATATTTCCATTCAATAAGAATCTGGCTAGGGATTCAAAGATTTATTACAATAGAATAGATTATTAAATGAAGATATCAGTAGGCTAGTGGTCTTGAGATTTCATGGGGAAAAAAACCTACCTCACATAAATAATGTGCATGAATAGAAAACTATTCACAGAGGTATTCTATAGTAGACTAAATAAACTTTATAAATTATTTTCTCAATAATTTTCAAGAAAAAAAAAAAACACTCCTGCTTGTGGGATGGCCTGCATCACAGCATGCTAGCAAACATCAACCTTCACTGCCAAGTAGGATTTAGCAGGGACAAGTCTTGTACAAGTAGTGTATCGACAGTCAACCCATATGGATAGATGAAGTGCCAAATTAGTTTGGAAAGCAGAGTAATGTCCAAAAATTAAGTAAAAGATAATTTGTATTCTAGCCTTTGTGGCATCAAACTCTGAATTCATTTACCATTGCAATAATCAAATCATCAGCACTAGGAAAGTTCAGCTTAGTTCAAAGCATTGACTTGCATTTTTATGGAGACTAACTTTGGAGGAGATTTATGTGCATATCCAAGCAAACCTTTACCTGTGCAAGTTTGATTGGATTCGTCTTCATTGCCCCCACAGTCATTAGTTCCATCACAAAGCCATCTCTTAGGGATGCAGTGATTATTCTGGCATTTAAACTGATCATCAGGGCAGCTATGATTGACTGGAAGGGAAGGAGAAGCAAGTTTAATTATTTAGAATTGGGTGAAGTTGTGAATAATATTATTATTGTGTATTTTAGAATTATAGTTACAGAAAAGTTAGGTAATAATATTATATTACAATGCCATAGATTCTGTTATTCATTGTCTTGTATTTAGTAGCAAATATTAATATTTGCTTTGTTAAAATGTAATGCTTTTATAGAAAACATCAAGTAGTAAATCTTAAATAAAAGGAAATGTATTCTTTTTTTATGTCTCCATTAAAACCAACTCTATGGCCATGCATGGTGGTTCATGCCTGTAATCCCAGCATTTTGGGAGGCCAAGGTGGGTGGATCACCTGAGGTCAGGAGTTCAAGACCAGTCTGGTCAACATGGTGAAACCCTATCTCTACTAAAAATACAAAAGATTAGTCAGGTGTGCTGCACATGCCTGTAATCCCAGCTACTCAGGAGGCTTAGGCTGGAGAATTGCTTGAAGCCAGGAGGTGGAGGTTGCAGTGAGCTGAGATCGTGTCATTGTACTCCAGCCTGAACAAGAGGGAAACTCCATCTCAAAGATTTAACTAAATAAATAAAACCAACTGTATCACTAAGTTTGTTTTCTCATTCCTTATACTGGAGACTCAACTTAAAAATTTTGACCAAGAACATTTAAAATCAACCTCAGATCCTAATGTTAAATATAACAATTATGTATCAAAAATAATTTAGTCATATATATAAAAATATTTTATTTAAAAACAACATAACCATTCAAATATTTCTTAACATATTAAATAAGCCTACTTTTTTTTTTTGAGACAGAGTCTTGCTCTGTCACCAGGCACCAGGCTGGAGTGCAGTGGTACGATCTCGGCTCACTGCAACCTCCGCCTCCCAAGTTCAAGCAATTCTCCTGCCTCAGTCTCCCAAGTAGCTGGGACTACAGGTGCATGCCACCATGCCCAGCTAGTTTTTCTGTTTTTAGTAGAGACGGGGTTTCACCATGTTGCAGGATGGTCTCAATCTCTTGACCTCATAATCTGCCTGTGTCAGCCTCTGAAAGTCCTGGGATTAAAATAAGCCTACTTTTATTCCTTCCTGTCCAGTGTTTCTTGGGAATGGAAAGGAAAGCAGAGAAAAGAAAAATGTATCGCTTGTGACCTAGAGTTAATGTTAACTATGGGATTCTGTATTATTTTAATAACAAAAAACATCATCGTGAGTTTTCTTCCCTACATGCAACCACAGAAAATACTGAGGCAACCAAACCTCGTCTGGGAAGCTGTGTACAGCTAAGGATTAAACTTTCAATATCTAAGCACAACAGCGGGGGCATCTTAATGTTAGTGTCCTATGATTCTTTTTTCTCCATTCCACAGGATAAATTCCTAACTGAGTTGACATGCTCTTCAGTACGTGTTTCAGGATTTCAACACTGTTTTTAGGGTAATTTTCTTTATGCCCGGTAGTTGCAATTCCATATGATAAAAACAAACGTTTATATTCATTTAACTGAGAATTTAGAAGATGGTTATTTTATCATGTTTGTTGCATAGCAAATGTGTGCATTTCCAGTAAGTTTCTATAAAACACTTTTTCTTTAAAGTAGCTTTGTTGATAAGTGGTTTTATCACTTTTCAGAAAGTTTTCATTGACGTATAGCAAAAAAAATAAACAGGGAGAAAAGCTTTATATTCTCTGGTATTTGAGCATGATTTACATTTTCTACTCACTTCAGGGACTTCAGCAAGAATAGCTGCTGAGAGAAATAAAAGTCATCTGATATATGAGAGAGCCAACAATTTAAAGTACCAAGATTATACATTTGCACTTCAGTGAGGCTTAATCAAGGACTTTTGCAATCTTTACCAGTAAAATAATAAATAATGCCTTTTGGTTTGGAGTTGAAACACTGAAGGATAGAAAGTAGAATAACAAATTCAAGGTTGCAGATTATGAGTGTTTAATATTTAAAATATATCGATGGAACGTATCTCAAAGTAATAAAAGCTATTTATGACAAACCAACAGCCAATATCATACTGAATGGGCAAAAACTGGAAGCATTCCCTTTGAAATCTGGCACTAGACAAGGATGCCCTCTTTCACCACTCCTATCCAATATAGTACTGGAAGTCCTAGCCAGAGCAATCAGGCAAGAAAAAGAAATAAAGGGTATTCAAATTGGAAAGGTGGAAGCCAAACTGTCTCTATTTGCAGACGACATGATAGTATACCTAGAAGACCCCATAGCCTCAGCCCAAAAACTCCTGAAACATGATAAGCAACCTCAGCAAAGTCTCAGGATATAAAATCAATGTGCAAAAATCACAAGCATTCATCTACACCAATAACAGACTTAAAGAAAGCCAAATCAAGAAAGAACTGCCATTCACAATTGCTACAAAAAGAATAAAATACCTTGGAATACAACTCACAAGGAATGTAAGGGACCTCTTCAAGGAGAACTACAAACCACTGCTCAACGAAATCAGAGAGGACACAAACAGATGGAGAAACATTCCATGTTCATGGTTAGGAAGAATTAATATCGTGAAAATGGCTATACTGCCCAAAGTAATTTACAGAATCAACGCTATCCCCATCAAGCTACCATTGACTTTCTTCACAGAACTGGAAAAAACCACCATGAACTTCATATGGAACCAAAAGAGAAGCCCGCATAGCCAAGTCAATTCTAAGCAAACAGAACACAGCTGGGGGGCATCACACTACCGGATTTCAAACTATACTACAAGGCTACAGTAATCAAAACAGCATGGTACTGGTACCAAAACAGAGATATAGACCAATGGAACAAAACAGAGGCACCAGAGGCAACACAACATATCTACAACTATACAATCTTTGATAAACCTGACAAAAACAAGCAATGGGGAAAGGATTCCCTGTTTAACAAATGGTGTTGGGAAAACTGGCTAGCCATGTGCAGAAAGCAGAAACTGGACCCCTTCCTGACACCTTACACTAAAATTAACTCCAGATGGATTAAAGACTTAAACATAAGACCTGGCACCATAAAAACCCTAGAAGGAAATCTAGGCAAAACTATCCAGGACGTAGGAGTAGGCAAGGACTTCATGAACAAAACACCAAAAGCATTGGCAACAAAAGCCAAAATAGACAAATGGGACCTAATGAAACTCCACAGCTTCTGCACGGCAAAAGAAACAGTCACTAGAGTGGATCGGCAACCAACAGAATGGGAAAAAATTTTCGCAGTCTACCCATCTGACAAAGGGCTGATATCCAGAATTTACAAAGAACTCAAACAGATTTACAGGAAAAAAACAAACAAGCCCATTCAAAAGTGGGCAAAGGATATGAACAGACACTTTACGAAAGAAGACATATATGAGGCCAACAATCATATTAAAAAATGCTCATCATCACTGGTCATCAGAGAGATGCAAATCAAAACCACATTGAGATACCATCTCACGCCAGTTAGAATGGCCATCATTAAAAAATCTGGAGACAACAGAAGCTGGAGAGGATGTGGAGAAAAAGGAACACTTTTACACTGCTGGGGGAGTGTAAATTAGTTCAACCATTGTGGAAGACAGTGTGGTGATTCCTCAAGGCCTTAGAAATAGAAATTCCATTTGACCCAGCAATCCCATTACTGGGTATATATCCAAAAGACTATAAATCGTTCTATTATAAGGACACATGTACACGAATGTTCATTGCAGCACTGTTTACAATAGCAAAGACCTGGAATCAACCCAAATGCCCATTGATAATAGACTGGATTGGAAAAATGTGGCACATATACACCATGGAATATTATGCAGCAATCAGAAATGATGAGTTCGTGTCGTTTGTAGGGACATGGATGAATCTAGAGAACATCATCCTCAGCAAACTGACACAAGAACAGAAAATGAGACACCACATATTCTCACTCATAGGTGGGTGATGAAAAATGAGAACACATGGACACAGAAAGGGGAGTACTAAACACTGGGGTCTATTGGGGGGAAAAGGGGAGGGCCAGTGGGAGGGGGAGGTGGGAAGGGATAGCCTGGGGAGAAATGCCAAATGTGGGTGAAGGGGACAAGGAAAGCAAGGCACACTGCCATGTGTGTACCTACACAACTGTCTTGCATGCTCTGCTCATGTAGCCCAAAACCTAAAATTCAATAAAAAATTAAAAAAAAAATATTTCTAATATGCTAGGAATTTTCCCTGTAAAATACAAAAAAGCAAACCAAGACAAATGCTATGTGCAATCCATACATTTGACAAAATATTTCTATCTAGAATGTATAAAGAAACCTTAAAATAAAAACTCAACCCCCCAAAAAAAAAAAAGAAATTGAGAGAGGATATAGTGCGGGAGTATGGGCATCAGCTTCTGAGCAGGTGCATGGCCATATTATTGGGATTTCTACGCAAATACCGAGCTGATTCAAAACAAATAACAGATCAGAAGAGTGATTGTGTGAGGGTGGTAAAGAGACAACTGCTTCCAAGTTGGAATTAACTGGCCTCTAAAAAATCACGTTTCCTAGTTAGCTCTTTATTAGCTCTTTTGTTTTTGATAAAGATGTCGGAACAACTGTAAGGCACAAGTTAAATGGTGCTGTTTGATCTTTTGTGAGGATTCTATTTGTCCTTTTGTCTGGTCTTGCCACCTGTTCAGAGGTGTTGATTATTAAGATCTGTACCTGCACATGTAGTCTTTCTTCTGGGGCATAACCTTTTCAGCCCTGTGCCTCTGCTGAAACACCCTATAGATCCTGAATTGGTCAGTGTGTATACAGTTCTGTAGGGAAAAGATAGAACATGGAAAATTGTGTTTCCAAGGAAATTGCCCTTAGAAATAGGGATACCAGACTAATAATAAACAGATGACATTTGGAAACAGTGTAATTCAGTTTAAAATCACAGCTTCGAAAATCTGTTCATTCCTTTGTAATACTCACATACAGAAGTATTGGAGTACTTCGCAGTAAGGAGAAAACCACTGGGGATCTAAAAAGTGTGAGTGCTCGGTGAAGTAGTTGAGACCTGTGGGATGCCATGAAGAATGAGAGATGATAGCTAAGCCGAGGCAGGCACAACTCCAGAGTGCCATTCACAACTCCCTGTAGTTGAGTGTAATACAGTCTTGTGGGGCCATATGTGACATCCCTGCAGAGACCTTAGTTCCTGTCATCATAGGTTGGGCACAAGAGGACTGCTGAGAAAGACAGTATGACTACTGAACCTTGAATGTAATTTGAAGTCCAAGAGGACAGTGAAGAGAGCAGGGAAGCAGGGGAACTGGCATTTAATGATTATCTACTACAGCCAGTCATAGTAGGAGCATTTCACCCACATCTTCTCATTTGTTACAACTCTGTGAGTGAGGTGTTGGTATTTCAGTTCAGGGATGAAGAAAGCGAAGTTCAGAGATGTTACATGTATCACACTGTGTCATACAGATGGTAAATGCCACATTTGAACACAGAGTTGTCTGACTCTGAGCCCTTCCTCATTCCATCACTTTCAGAGTGACTCAGTTTACTAAGAGGAAGTCTTTATTTCAAGTGAAATAGGTATTTTTCTTTATGCAGCTATTAGTGGACTGTCTTAGTCTTTCTTACTAAGTGCCAGAAGATGCATTTCTTCCTCTCATTAAACAAATAAAGCTGGCAGTGCCAGAAATTTGATTTGCCTTTATTGTGGAGGAATAAAAAGCCCCATGTGTACTGAACAGGCAGAACCTGTTTCTAGTGTTTAGCCAACTCCTGTCTGGGTGTTCTTATAAAAAGTAATTATACCCTTTATGATACACCCATTTAAGTCCTAACAGCTATTTCCTGTTGGACCTCGTGTTGTGGGGCTGTATTTGCTTCTATTATTTGAGTAAAAAATGTGTATGGGGGGGCACGTCTATATGCCTGTCTGTGACATTGGTTGAACAAACACTGTTAAGTCAGATTGTAGAAATGGCTTGATTCTCTTTTGCAGGGCTGTGTTCTATTGAGGCTTGTGCTTCCTATACTTTCTAAGCTTTTGTAGCTTTGTTTTGCCATTACTCGAGGGCTGATTCTATCTGGCCACAGTAAAGCTGTTCACACTGTGTCTTGTAGCTTAACTTTACAGTCTTAGGCACTTGGAGGCAGCAGCGTTTACATAACTTGTTTTTATGTTTGTTTGCTTTTTGTTTTCCTATTCCCCTCACTTAACGTTCATTTTCTCCCCCATTTACAGATGCTGGCCCATGAGAGATGTTGATGCATTTTGCTGTGCGGCTGGGACTGCTGAGGTTGACAGGGTTTCTGTTGCAGAAGCCAGGTGGTCTGGGAGCTCTCATCATCCACAACCAGGAAGGGGCGACGCCTGTGAGCTTGGCCTTGGAGCGAGGCTATCACAAGCTGAACCAGCTTCTAACCGAGTAAGTGCTCCTTCTCCTTATTTCTCTCCGCTCATCCCCAGCCCCACTCCCATTCATAGTAGTACCGCCCACATGGCATCTCAGTGTGAGTCTGCAACGAATTATAACCTCAACCCTGTACCTTGCCTTCTGCTGTGGGTTTGTAAGCTTGCTCCTGCTAACCACTTGATTGTTAGAGAGAAACGTAAGTCATATTACCATTTTCTCTCTCCTCTGCCTCTCTGCCTTCTCCGCTTCTTACCTCTTGTATTTTACTATTTTACTCAAAAGTCAGAACAAGCCTTGTCTGTGGAGGTAGCATAACATTACCAATGTATACAGCTTATCTTGGTTTAGTACAGGAGGGAAAGGACTTCCTATGTCATACATTTTTTTCTGGTGTGTCTTTAAGACTTGAAAGAGTTAATTAATTAGAAACCAGTACTTTCATATTATAATTGCATACAGAAACTATGGTAAACATTTAAGTTCTGCATTGAATGTAGTCTCTGTGGATAAAATTTGAGAGCAGTCGTTTCTTCATATGAACAGCAGTAAAAGCAACTGAATTGTCCTGGAAATGTGCAATAGGAAATCCTGTCTATCTTTAGGCTCATTTATTATATTTTCTGACTCTAAAAATTCTCTAGAGGAAGGTTGTTAGTCAAAACATTTGAAGAGTGCTCTTTTTTTTCCTTGTATAAATAAAGAAATAAATGCACTAGAGCAGCCAAAAGTTCTTATTGGATTGTTTATATAAAGAGGTTTCAAGAATAGTTTCTTTTGTTTAATATATTTTCTAATAGTTTTGTGGTTATTATTATCTTGTCTACCACATTATGTGAACAAGTATGAACCCCATTTGATCTGTGTTCCTTAGCAATTGAGGGACCTTTGCAAATTGAGTCAGTATTAGCAAATTCTCTATATTTTGCTCATGTCAAATTTAATTTAGTTGCGCTTTATGTTTTACTGTTTTTAGCTGTGTATATAGTCTGGAAGGACTAAGAAGAGATCTCAGAATGTAATGCTACTTACGGTTATATAAACAGTTTTTTCTTGCTTCAGTTCCCAAGCTAATAACTTTCCCTGTCACACTAGACAGACGGTTCTTTGCAGAAAGCTCTGATGGGTGCTACTGGTAGAAGGGGCACTTACCTCAAATGAGCTTTGGATACCTGAGCTCAGCTAAGACAGTATTCCAGGGAGTGATACATTCTACTCCTTCACACTTCCCATCTGGCCAATGATTGGATTCATTCTACTGTTGGCTTCATGGCCTCAGGAAGACAGGCCTTGTTCCAGAAGTTGAAACAGTTAACTCCACATAACTACTGTGATGTTTAAATGAATTTCCTCTAAATTTGATTTTTTTGCTGGGAAGCAGAGTTGGTTAAGGACTGCCATCCAAATGGGGAAGTAAAGTGATTAGAACAGCTTCGTTATATCCTTGGAGGGGATGTCACAAGACTGTTACTGCAGCATAGCTTTAAGGAAACTAGAGTGCGTTTGTTCTGGACTTTTTTGTGCTTGCTTTAAAGTACTACCTTGGTTACATGTGCAAAGCCACTTATCTCCTTTTGAAGGTAGATTGGTGAGGGAAAACCTACTTGAGAAATCTCCAAGTAGAGGACGCAGTTAGGAGAGGATGACCACCTTGCTGCAGATCTAAGGCTTCACTTGAATTCTGGGATTTTACTGTTCAAGTTTAGAAAAAGTGCTGAGTCATAACTAGCAATTAAAAACAGAAAGGGGGTGATTGTCCCAAATCAGTTTGAGCGTGATTCTAGTAGAATTTGCTAGAATTTCAGTTGGTAAAGGAACAAGAATTGTCATCATTTTGTTTTTGGTTTTTTCTCCTTTCCTTCCCCTTTCCCTATATACATAACAGAAAAATGGTTAAAATAGTAAATTTTGGGTACAGCATTCAGTGGCATTTGGTACATTGACAGCACTCACAGTGTTACGTAACCATCACCACTATTGTTTCCAGAACTTTTTCATCACCCCGAACAGAACTTCCTTTTCCCCCAACCCCTGATAACCTCTGTTCTCTTTTCTGTCTCTAAAAATTTGGTCATTCTAGGTACCTCGTATAAGTGGAATCATGCAGCGTTTATCCTTCTATGTCTGTCAACGTTTATCCTTCTATGTCGTCTTCTTGCACATAGCATAATGTCCTCAGGGTTCATCCATGTGGTAACATGTGTCAACATAATAAATATTTCAAAATTGCTAGAAGAATATATTTTTCACCACACAAAAACAAGTGGCTGAGATGATGGGTATGTTACTTAGCTTGATTTTGTCTTTCAATAGTGTATACATCGATTAAAACATCACATTGTGCCTTATAAATAGATGTTGTCAAAAATAAATAAATAAAAAGATGTTGTCTATTACCTCCCCCACAGAGCCAAAAGTGGAAACAACCTAGATGTCCATCACAGATAAATGGATAAACAGTGTGGTATGTTCACATAACGAAATACTATTCAGCCTGAAAAAGAGAAAAAAATATTTAACAGATGAAACTGAGATCCAGAGAGCAAAGTTGTTGAATTATGATAACAAGGTGGCAGGGCCAGAAATAGAAGACAAAAGGGTGTCCAGAGCTCTTTCCTTCCATTCCTGGGATTCTTAAAAAGTGGCCTAAGAACAGAATTCATAGGGTCTATATCCCTTGAAATTATAGATAAACATACACTTGTTTTTCTGAGCAAAGCGTTTGTTGGTGAGATTCACAAAGGGGTTTGTAGAAAGTTAAGAATTGTCACAGTGTATGTTTTTTGTTTTGTTTTGTTTTGTTTTGTTTTGTTTTTTGAGATGGAGTCTCACTCTGTAGCCCAGGCTGGAGTGCAGTAGAGAGATCTTGATTCACTGAAACCTCCACGTCCCGGGTCCCAGTTCAAGCAATTCTCCTACCTCAGCCTCCCAAGTAGCTGGGGTTACAGGTGTGAGCCACCATGCCCAGTGAACTTTTGTATTTTTTAGTAGAGACAGGGTTTCACCATGTTGGCTAGTCTGGTCTTGAACTCCTGACCTTGTGTAATCCCAAGTAGCTGGGATTACAGGCGTGAGCGACCACCCCAGGCTGATGCGGTCTTTCTAGTAGTTTATTAACATTAGACTTTGGGTACCCTGCTCTACTTTTTAAAAACGAAATTGTCCACATATAAGCCTGCCTCTTTTATTGCCTCTTTTCAGTTAGTACGAAATTAAAGTATGGCTATATACATTTTACATTTATGGAATAACTAGTTGTATTCTACACTTTACTGAAAATTCAAGCTTATTTAACCCCATTTATAACCCTTTGAAAGTACATTTGTTGTTTTAATTCCTTGCTGCTTTATGTTGTTTTTTGCTTTATAAATTTTGGCTGGGAGTGGGGAGTCAGGGTATTGTGTTGGTTAGGGCCCAAGTTCTTTTTGTGTTTCTTGTTCAAGGCTTATTTTGATTGCCAGTCTCTTTTGATAAACCAAGTCTTCTTCTGTGAAAATTATGATTAGCCATTCTTGGAGACACAAGGATTCCCTACCATCTTTTAGAAAACGCTTGGACTTGACTGGGCGTGGTGGCTCACGCCTGTAATCCCAGCACTTTGGGAGACCGAGGCGGGTGGATCACAAGGTCAAGAGATCGAGACAATCCTGGTCAACATGGTGAAACCCTGTCTCTACTAAAAATACAAAAAATCAGCTGGGCATGGTGGCGCATGCCTGTAACCCCAGCTACTCAGGAGGCTGAGGCAGGAGAATTGCCTGAATCCATGAGGCAGAGGTCGCAGTGAGCCAAGTTCGCGCCGTGGCACTCCAGCCTGGGTAACAAGAGCGAAACTTGGTCTCAAAAAAAAAAAGAAAGAAAACGTTTGGACTTCCAGATGGTAATAAGTATTCACGACATTTTTTACAGTTTCCCTTTTTTGTAGTCTGTGACTTTTAACTTTCACTTAGTTCAGTGATAGGGAATGCAGAGCTTTTGTTGACTTGCTTTTTTGCTTCAGTTTATTATTTAGATCTTACATTATGAATACGGATGCATTTGTGATCTGAAAATTGATCCTAAATACATTGTATTTAAGTTTCACCTTAAGTAAATGAAAGAATTAATGTACAGAGCTAACCCAATGGTTGACATATATGTTATCTCTTATTTCGCTTTCCTGAATTTTCTATCTTGCCTGAGAAATCTTAGCCCCAGAAGAGTACCCAAAACATGTAGGCCTACATCTCCTCTAATTTGAAGCAAATAGGTAAAGACCCTAGTTTGCAGGCTCTTGGTTTCATGAATGGTAGGAAGTGACAACCTCAGATAAACGTGGCATCGTAGTTACCTAAGAAGAGAGTATTAGGCCGGACGTTACTGGATCTGGCTGATCTCTTACGTACCACATCACAAAGTAGAAATCTTGGGACGTGGATCACCCATGTTGTGGTTAAGAGGAAGTTTGAGAGTACGAGGCAGCTGCAGTAGTGACTAGGTGTGCAAACTCGGAAGTCAAACTTAGGTTTGCATTTTGGCTCTGCCATTTGCAAACTTTCCTCGCTAAGCCTTGATTTCTTCATCTCATAAATAAAGGATAATAGTATACTTCCTGGATGACAACCCAGTCTCTAGTATGTGCAATATGAAAAATTAGGGCTTATTTGTCATACAGATTCTGGATATTTTTCTGGAGCCAATAAAGGTGTGGTAAGTATTTCAGCTTGGAGAAAGATAGTAGTATGGTATGGTAGAATTGCTTAGGGATGAAGAGCTTAATTAAAATCTAAGCCTGCCTAGTTAGTAGTTAGTGTGACTTGGAAAAGTCACCTATCCACTCAGTCTCATGCTTCCTCTCTCTTAAGGATAATACCTATTCTGCCTACATCACAAGGTTACTGAAGCTAAAAGAATATTTGTGCAAATACTGTTAAACTCTCATAACTATTTGAAAGTTTCTTATATATTAATAATGACATCACTAAAATTAGAGGTAATCAATGAAACTCAAATTCCAATTGATTGGTCTACCAGAT